ATTTGTCCACGCTCGAGGGCTGGTGGGGGGTGCAGCGGGGTGACGTCTCACCCAGATCCTTATGAGAACTCGCCATCCCCATGGGGTTGCGATCTCCGAACCTGTCGCCACTTCTGAGAGTTGCCGGGGGAGTCCAGCCGAGTGACGTCTTACCCATATTCAGATGCTACCTCGCCATCCTTCCGGGGGGTGCGATCTGCGAAATTGGCGCCACTTTCGAGGGCTGCTGGGGGGTCCAACGGGGCGACGTCCTACCCCGATCCAGATGAGACTTTTCCATCCCGTATGGTGCTGCGATCTGCGAAACTGTCGCCAGTTTCGAGTGCTGGTGGGGGGTCCAGCGGAGTGACGTCTTACGCGGACCACCAGGAGACCTCGCCATCCCTGGGGGCTGCGATCTTCGAAATTGTCGCCGCTTTCGAGGGCTGCTGGGGGGTGGAGCGGAGCGACATCTTCCGCGGACCACCAGGAGACCTCGCTGTTTCTGTTACTAGGGGGGTTGTTCCGAGTTCCGGGGCCGTCCGGAAGGAAGCAGAAAAGTTGGCAGGCGAGCTGGGCCCCGTTCCTTTTCTTGCACTAGCTATACGCAGGCGCGATCATTGTTTCGAGCGCCGCGGCGACATGGCGCAGGCAGCGCTGCATCTGTAGCGTAGTACTAGCGAAAGCAACAGTTTTCTGTCTCCTCCCGTCAGTTTCGTCGTCGTCCTCTGCCCCCTGCAACCTTCCCTCTGCTGCTGGCGCGATCACGGTTCGGCCCCCCGCGCGTTCTTCTCCCGCCCTTCGTTTCCGCCCCTACGCCTTTTAAGCCTGGGCCATCGCTCCTCGTCCCTCTCTTGATGTCGTTTGTACAACATATAGCGGCGCCTGCACTGGCAAGTTTCGTCCAACTCCTCTTGCCACTTGATGCACATGGGTTGGGTACGCCACAGGGTAATTTTAATGAGGGGCATGCCCCGTTGGAAGACAAACCGCTCGGAAATCTTGAGCCGTGCCAAAATCAAGCTTCCTTTAGACGCCACTCCGGATCAATTTTATTGTTGTGTCCTGACGGTCCTGACTCGTGCTAGACCACTGTTCTTGGGACTTCAACGCCGCGAGGCCTTCGATCGCATCTCAACATCGGGGCTCGTTTGCGCATTGCAGCAATTTGGTGTGCCAGCCGAGATAGTGGACATGATGAAGGGTATTCGCATGGTCCGGAACTGCGTCGTCCAGGACGCAGGTGGGAGACATTCGCAATGCGCGAATTCGGCGAGTATTTCCCAAGGTTGTCTTTTATCGCTCTACCTTTCCATCGTCGTCATGCCCGTGTTTTTTGAGACTGCGGGCCAGCAGATGTCTGTGGAATGCGCCGAAAGGCACACGAAACCATACGTGGTAACTGGAGATGAGCTTTACACAGAAGGCACCATGCTGGTGGCGCAAGACAAAGCCGTCGTAACGATCGGGACGCTGTACGAGCTGGAGCTGAACGACGGCAAAGCAGCCGTTCCCAGGGCACGTTCGGAAGAATCCATTCTTGGATTCGGTGGCGAAGCAACACAGTGTAAAGACCACGCGGTGTATTGGGAAGGTTGGGGTGGCAATCTTCGCGCAGAGCTTGCACGCCGGCTGGGAGAGGCAAGGGGCTTTCCAACAATTGCGTAAATGTGGAATCACGCGAATCTCAGCAATATGCAGAAACAACATTTCCTGGTATCTTCTGCATGCTCGAAATTCCTGCATGGTCTGGAGTATTGCATGCTCCTGAAGGCGGACAGGGACAGACTCGACAGCTTCCAAACGCAATGCTTGCGAAAGGTGCACAAAATACTGCCGGCCTAAGTACCCTGAGTCAGCAGCGAGGTGGTAAGGCCAACTGCCCGGGCTCGGTGGCCATTTGATTACCTCATTGAACAACAATTCCGGCTGCATTGGGACAGGGGCCCAGGAGAGCAACGAGAGCCTCCCAGGAGCAATGGTCTTCCAGAGTGGACCTTGCCACGAAGTGCTACCAAGATCCTGGCGCAGCGCCTGGTCACGAGGGCGCCCTCGATTGCAATGGAAATTGCACTCGCCTTCGCGCGTTGTGGAAGTGGCCGCCGGCAGTCCTGATGCACTCAAACATCTACTTTCTACTTCAAGACGCTGCGGAAGGGGCGTCGGCAGCTGCATAAGTTTGCGACAGTGCGTGCTTGGCCTCCCTCTCGTCTCCCTCCCCCTTCCTCCTCCTCGCCCCCCCCCTTTTCGCCCCCCCCCCCCCCCCTGACGCGCCGCGCAGCTGTCTCTCGCGCAACGTTGGAACAAAGGGTGCCACACTGGGCCCCCGAGGCATCTGCACCGGTTTAGAGGGCGCGGTTCTTTCGCGCCTTCGGGCGCGCAGGCTCGCATGTGTTGTCTGCCAGATCGCGCCAATTCGCCGTCAGGGCGCGGCTGTGCGTGCGTGCGCGTGCGTTCAGAGCCGACGGTCCCTATTCGAATGTGGCAGCTTTGTCCATGCGCGAGGCCGTCAAGGGGAACGAATTCATTCGTGCATGCGAAGCCGATGCGGACAATTGCGGTGAATGTTAGAGCTCGGTGGTCGCATCGGTGCGTTTTCAGGACGTCGCGGCTGCGTTCACAAGTGAAGGCTATTCGGACATGGCTTTAGACAGGCTTCTCGCCTAGGTCGGCGGCTGTGCGGACATGGGCGCAGTTCTCCGATGGCCGTATATATAGGTGTTTCCACGGATCGCGCCCGCTCCTACGGGGCCATGGTTTCGCGTGCTCTGAGCCCGATGCTGTTCGCATGTCGCGGGCGATGTTTCTCCCCCAATCCCCGAGTTTCGCCCGAAAAGTCTGGCCGCTCAGAAGAATGGGAAAACCCTGGGATACACCCCAAGGGGGCTATTCGGACGCACCCCTATCGAGAATGGGCACCCCCCCATCGTATATCCCAGGGTTAGGCCCCAAATTTCTGGTCCATTCGGAAACCCCACGAAGCCTGGGATAGGGGTCGACATATCCCCTGTTAGCATGTGATGATATGAGGTATGCGGAAGAGGGCTGGTTTTATCTGTCCAAGCATTGTGCGACGAATGCCACACGACACCGATCCAGGCGCTCGGCTGCTGGACCTGGTGGGACGCAAGTCGGGCGCATGAGAATGCGGTGGCAGCGGGGCGCCGAAGCGTCGCCACGTGAGCCTTGGGAAGTGCCAGCGCTGTGTTCAGGTGTCTCACAGCCAGGAGGGAAGCTTGTGAAATGCTCGAGCTGGCGGGAATCCACGCAGGCGGAGGGTGCGCACGCACGCTGCTATCACAGAGGCGCGCAAACGACTTGATGTTACCGAGGTGGATAGGTCGAGTTGGACTGGGAGCCTTGGTGAATCCAGGTGGGGATTCAGGCGGTAAGATATCGGACAAGGGGGAAGGCGCGGCGGTAGGGTCTGCCGAAAACGGGTCAACATACGATCAGGTGAGCAAGGGGCGAGAACGTCGGGGAGCTTTCCCACAATGTTGCGACCGACGATGCCAAGTTGCTGGGGATCAAGTCTGGGTGCCGGTGAACAAGGCTGGCGCGCGGCCGCACCCCGAACCGGTCGGCGGACTAGGGCATCATCGCCCCACAAGTCAAATGTCATGTTCATTGCAGCGCGCACTGCGAATCACGGCCTCCGTGTATCACCGCACTGGGGTACCACATCACTGGGGTATCAGCTCACTGGGAACCCAGGCGGACTACACGCGCATCATGGTGGCGGGATAGTAAGATAGCTGGACATCTCATTGAGTATGTGGAGCGGCAGGGCACCACGGTCATAGATCATTTGGTTGTTATCGTGAGGCATACAGCAGTAGCAGGCAGCGGTGTCATCGCGCTAGGGCAGTGCAGTCCATACAGTGACATAAGGAGCAGTTATGGTTCGGAAAGGTTTCGCTGCTTTCGGAGCCATATCTAGCGTTTCCTATGGTAGCAGCTTGACTGGACGTGATGTTGAGTCCCTGTATTTGTGCAGGATGGTCTTGGGCTTCCAAGCATCAAGACTCACAGGGATTCTTTGTTTGTTGGTGTACACGGCTCGCGCTGAGGTAACAATATGCCGGGACACCGCGACATTGGCTCTACATTGTTTGGATGACGCTTGGATCATCTGAACGGTCATGCAACCTGCATTCGTATATTATCGACGATATTTACAGCGAAGGTTTGCCGCCCCTTGCCTCCTGGAAGTGCAAATATGTGGCCAGACGTTGGGGCAAAGTCAGGACAGGCTGTTGGACTATGTGGTTCCCCATCTGCTGTGCAAGCCCTTCGGGGAACACTTGGGGACGAGGATGGGGCCTTTTCGGAGCTTTCAGGAGGCGTCTTGGGGGCATATGAAGGGCCTCTTTGGGGTTTCTTTTCGGGGCCGTCTGGTGACTTCAGGTGGCCTCTTGGGCCGTCTTAGGGCCGTCCCAGGGCTCTGCTGGCCCGTCCGACGCCTTCTGAGACTGTCTTGGGAGCCTCTCCAAGCTGTCGTGGGGCCTTCGTTTGGCGCTGTAGGGCCGTCTGGGACGTCTCTTGAATAATTCGAGGGGGATGTCGGGCAGTCTTGGGGTCCTCTTGGCCCGTCTGAAGGCCGTCTCAGGGAATTATTGGGCAGTGTGGGCTCGCTTGGCGGCCTCGGAGGCCGACCGTACCATTGACCTTGCACCACATAATTAGTTTTCGCATCGGGGATGCACACACACAAATTGTTTCGGCCCTATGCTGGCAATCGTATCATGTGATGTGCTGCTCCTCCGGCAAACCACGGCCAAACCCTGGCGAGCAGATTACGTTTTGCCTAGGTCACGCAAGATAACGAGCATTTGCGCAATGCAAGCATTGATTTGGGAGCCATCGGTGGTGCAACAATCAAATGTGGTGGCACAGGTTCCAGGCCAAGGGCAGCAGTACTTTTAGTTGGAGATTCGGAACCAGACGCTCAGAATGCTAACAGCAGGTTCGTGGCACAGATCCAGATCGATTCTGCAAGGCAACCCCCGCCTCCCCTCAAGGGTCAGTGCACGACCCGTTCGACCACGACGGGGAGATGCAGTCGTTGCCTTCTCAGGATGACGCGTGCGCCATGTCACCAAAGCGTGCAAGGAGGGAGGTGGGAGATAGCAGAGGGTGCGATTGAATACCCCTTATGATCTGCGAAATATGTCACAGGGGCTTTCACACAGTTTCGCAGAGCAGCCAGACACGTTGTAGCAAACACGTTGTTGCCGCGGCGTTCCACGTTCATAAGCTTACCTCTGTGTTCCCACGTCTTGGAAGCTCCGTCGGGGTGCAGCAGCACCCAAAGTAACACCTGAAGTACCAGCAGCATTCGGAACAATAGGAGGAGAATAGTGGGGAGGAGGAGAGACAGGGTGAGCAGTTACACAAAAGGAGGCAGTGTGACGGGGACGAATGTGTAAGGATACGCGGGCAGCCAGTCTTGATTAGAGGAGGCGTGGACCAGAGACAACGGAGGCGAGGAACGACAAAGTAAGTGAGGGCGCCATGATCTGTCGACGAATGCCAGCTGCGCTTGAGATCTTCACTTCTTTTGTCTTTCCATTTTCAAGACAAACGTGCTGGATCTAGACGCACATCGAGATTCAGCCAGCGTGGTGTGCATGGTCAAGGTAGTGTCATGCCCTTCTCTTCCTTCGCTTCAGCGCAGCCTTGACGTGACAAGTAAGAGTCGAAAGATAGCCAGCACCATACAGACCCTCGCTTGCGCACGTCCATTACAATTCATGTGTTCATCAGGCACTTGTTTTAGATTGATTCGCCCCGTTCTCATTAACGCCCCGTCCAGGATGACGCTTGGGACCCGGATTCGTCCAAGCGCTCATCGTTGGCACAAGGACCCTTTCGTTTCGGCTTGCCACGCTTCTGGATCATGATTCTTCTCTCCTCATTCTAGTTTTCCTTAGGATGCAACTCCTGGTAGGTTCAATTCAGCATCTGCGCTGCTATATCCGTAGCCCAAAACGGGCCACATCCGGCATACTCTCCTTTTAATTCCGCACCTTCTCGTTTAATTTGGGCTAGCAGTGTTTGATTACCTATGAGTGCAATCCGGCCTAATCCAGCTTGGTGGCCTCTTAACTTGGTTCAACCCACATGTTTGTTTACGACGATTTCCCAGGAGTTGCTTCCTAACCCCGTGGTCACGCATCGTGATGTTTCTTCCATGTTTCCAGATTGTTTTACTGTGCCAATCCAATTCCTGGTGGCCCCTTCTTTGCCGTGAACGCGTTAGCCTCCCGCCTCCATCAATTACGAGTGCCACTTCAATTCGCCCGACTACCACATACTTTCATGATTGTTGTCTACATCTCTCCTGCATTATGTTAAAATTGTGTTGTCTGGAGGTCTTGAGTTTCACCGACGGCTTTTCTGTTTGCTTTTGTGTTTAGCGGCCGCTAGCGGCGAACAGGGTGCGATGTGTGTGTACGTTTAGCGGTGGGCGTGGGCCGCTATATGCCGTTGGCCGGTTGCCATTGTTTGCCGCAATTCGCAGTTAGTCCGCCCACATCTTGATTCAGAAAGGAGCCCATACAAAAAAACGAGCGTAAGCCATGTCCCTCCCCCTCTTCTCATCATTCCTCTTTCGCTCTCTCCCTCTCTCTGTCTCTGTCTCTGTACGTCCGCATGGCCCCTCTGTGCCGCCGCGCGCCCACACTCGCTCGTCGTCTGCATCCCTCCTCCCACCCTCCGTCGCCCTACGCCCTCCTCCCTCCCCGTCTCATTCCACCCTGTTCCCTCCCTCTCCCCCTCCTCCTCCATCCCTCCCTCCCTCCTCCTCCCTCCTCCCCTCCTCCCCTCCTCCCCTCCTCCTCCCCCCCTCCCCTCCTCCTCCCTCCCTCTCTGCCTCCACTCCTCCTCCCTCCCCCTTTCTCCTCCCTCCTCCCCTCCCCGTGGGCAGCTCGACGCCCGGGCCTCGCCCGGGGGGCGCGTCCCGGCCAGCTGCCGACGGGCGGATCCCCGCCGTGGCCGCGTGGGCGGGGCCAGAAGCCTGGCTGCCTCGATGCGCCCGTGTTGACACGCAGCACGCGCCGTGCAGAACATCCTGTACCAGCCCCTTGTCTGGTCCGCCTACGGCCGACCCCACCCCCGACGACATCCATCCTCCGCACACTCGTGACCCGCCTTGCCCGGCGGAGGGGATGCTCGGACGGGGCGCGCGCCGTGCTCAAAGCGTCCGTGCCCATACGTGGCGTGTTGGCTCAACGTGTTGGCCCGCGCTTTGGGCGAGCGTATCGCGTCAGACCCACGTTTTCGGTCTGCGTGCTGGGCTCCGCATCAATACGCAACGTGCTTTGTGTGGCGTATCGGGGCAGCTACGCCCAGAAGGCCAGAAAGGGCCAGACAGGATCAGACGAATTCCATCTTCCATCCTGCATCCTCCTCGTCGCCCCTCCTATATCGTCCTTGTTGCCACAGCCCCCACCTAAAATCGAAGCGAGGTCCCTTGGAGCTCCCGACCTCTTTCTAGGGGCTTGCTTTCACCACGGAAGCTGTTTTTCGACAGTCCTGGGTCCCGAAACGAGCTTCGGGATCAGAAAACATTGGCATCTACAAAAAAAACATTGCCTCAGGGGTATGGGTCCTCTTCCCTCCCCATCACTCTCCGCCGCTGGCCCTAGGATGGTGCATGTCTCCCCTGCGTCGCTTGCCCCCTACCCGCCCGTTCCCCCCACGCCACGTCCTCCTCCTCCTCCTCCTCCTCCTCCTCCTCTTCCTCCTCCTCCGTAGCCATTTTTGGCTCAAGCGTGCTTCGCGCCAGGCCCCGACGGGCCAGCCCGCGCGCGGCGGAGCCCCAGCTCGCGCCCGCGCCCCCCTGCCGCCAATGGAGGCCCGCGCGGTGGACGCCGCGCTGGCGGCCCTGGAGGATAGGCCGAGGGCGCACGTCGCCACCCGGGAGCGCATCCAGGCGGAGTTCTCGCGGTTGGCGGCCGCGCCGCCCGAGGCCAGGGCCGCGGAGGGGGCGCCGGCGGCGCAGGAGTCCGCGGGGGCAGAGCCCCAGCAGCAGGCCGGCGCAGGCGCTGGGGACCTCGACCTGGGCAGGCGGTGCGGGGACGTCGTGCGCGAGGCCCTGGAGGTGCTGCAGAAGGAGGAGGGCAGCCAGCGCCGCGCGGCCAGCGCCGCGCAGCCCGTCGCACAGAGCGGCGCAGCCGATGCACGGTCCCCGCGCTCCGCGAGGGCTGTTTTGGCGGCGCGCTTCGACGACATCTTGCAAGATGCCCGAACGATCCGCCTGGAGGAGGAGCGCCGCATCGGTAGCGACGAAAAGCCCCAAAGTAGGCGCGAATTCGACACCGACACGAGCCTAGGCGCGCAGGAGGCGGCCAAGAAATCGGACCATCCCGAGTGGAGGCTCGAGGAATACTTCGAGCAGGACCTGAACGCCGCCGTAGTCGAGGCCCTCGCGCCGCAGGAGCTCCTCGCCACGTCGACCGGCGCCAGTGCCTTCATGGAGGCCGTGGGCAAGAAGGGGAGCGCAGCTGAACGCGGGGGCCATCAGCCAGACGCTGGCCAAGATCATCGCTGCCCGTGGCGTGAAGCTCGTAGAGAGCCAGGCAGTGACGGGCGAGGCCGGCGGGCCGCCCCCGCACATGCTGGACGTCGCGGAGGGGCGCGCGCCCGAGGACCAGCAGGAGAGCGACGCCTTGCCCGAATCTGTGGTGGCGCCCGTCGACCAACAGCACCAGCAGGAGGTCCCCAAGCAGGGGCAGGAGTCGTTCGACATGACGCGGTACACGGACGCCGCGAGCCTCTTCGACGCGCTCGAGTTCACCGTGGAGGGCCTTCACCCCGTACGGTTAGCACGGGCCGGGTACGCCCCAGGATTATTTGAACATGTTGTTGGGCCCTGAGCATGCCCCGCAAGCTGACTTGCCGTGTCCTCGATCGAGATCAAGCACGGGATTTCTGTAGGGTCGGGGGGGAATCTGCTCTGGTGGTTTGATCACACGTTGGCTACCCGTCAGCCCGCGCTGGGCCCAAGGCAGGGACTGCCGCCGCAGGCGCGTCGCCTCCCCCGCCTCCCCCACCTCCTGCCCCGGCCCCGGTTTCCGACAGCCACGGCCTCACGAAGAGAGGGAGCGGGGCTTGTGGTCGTCGCATGGCCGCTTCGTCCCTCCCGTTCTCAGCCGGCACTGCCTGGTGCAGGTCGCCACTCCTGCTCCGCTATTGTGCTGGTTGCTGGCAAGGGGCCGCCCTCGTTAGCAACCAGTAGTGACAGGGTGCGGGTTGGGGTTTCCCCAGGCGAGGGGTGTTCCCCCTTAGCAATCCCTCCTCGCATCCAGGGACTGCCAAGGGCGGCTCGCTCGCAGACCTGACAGGGATCATTTTCCTCCTCCTCCTCCTCCTCCTCCTCCTCATCCTCCGGGCGCTCGTTGGAGTTGAAAGTCCGCTTGCAGGGTCTTGGCAGGAGGGGGCCTGGGACGGGAGGGTGCGTGGCAGCTTCGTGGACGCGTCTTGGGTTCATTCTGCTCCTCCCCCTCCCCCTCGCGGGCGCTGAAGAGGAGGGGGGCCGAGGACAGTGTGCGCTTGCGTTGGTAGCGTATCTGGGGCAGTACAAGATTCCCCACTGTGTCACACCGCGCCCTTCAATCCGATCCTTGCTGCCCTCTTCGTCCTCACACGTGTCGCGGGCCGTGGTGCGGTGTTCCCGCCCCCTAGTGCTGGCCCCCCTCTTCAACGCGCCCGGATAGTTTCCTCCCCTTGCTCCTTCCCTTCCTGCCCCCCTCTGCCCCCTTCCCCCGTCATCTTCCCATCTCATCCGTCCTCCCCCTTTCGTATTCGCTCTTATCTTGGCCCTCCTCCTCTGTACACCCGAGCGTCTTCATCCTGTTCTTTCTCCTCTTTGTGCACAATTTCTCCCTGCCGCACCCCGAGACGTGTGGGTAGGACAAGCCCGGCGTTTCGCCTGAGACTTCACACCAGCTATGATCCTGGAGCTTCAAGCAAGTGCCACAGTTTCATGGATGCGAGGCGGGTGGTTTTCAAGATGTGGCCCTCGCATGGGCGCCGCGCGCATTCGTCTTCAAACTGTGCAGGAGGTGTAGGAATGGAAGGCGGACCGTTTTCAACATGTGGCTCTCGCTGTAGCGCCGCGCGCCCTCGATTTGAAAGCTTGCAACCGGCTCACGGATGGAGAGCGGCCCTTTTGCAACATGTGGTTCCTGCCTTAGCGCCGCGCACATTCGACATACAAGTTCGCAACAGCTTCAAGGGTGGAGGGCGGCTCCTTTTCACAATGTAGCTTTCGCCGTCGCGCCGCGCACAATCGTCTCAATATTTTGCAATCTGGTCAAGGGTTCGTGCGATTGAAATCCCAGGCATGGCGTTCTGGTGCGAGTCAGGGTTGTCAGGGTGCAACAGTCACGCTCATTCAATGCGTTGGGAACCCAGGAAGTGTGTTCTGGCCCGGGTTAGGATTGTCAGGACGCAACCGTCATGTTGATTCGCGGCGTTGGTTTTCCAGGACTAGCGTTGTGGTACGATTGAAGATTCTCAGACGTTTGTCTTCCGGTGGGCACGTCCCGCAAGAACCATATGTCTCGTGTTAGGTGCCGATGAAAAAAAAACACTTGCAGGGAGGGTTTATTGCAACATCGTTGGTGCACCTCGGTCTTCCTCCTCCCCCCCTGGAGGCTGCAGCACCGCTCAACGATGTGCCGTAAACCAAACCTGCAGGGTGGGCCCTTTCCAGTTGTGCGCTTCAGCTTTGGCGTCTGCTCCAGCTGTTCTTTGCACCGTGAAGCGCTCTCGGGCCATCTCACCCGAGTCGTTTTTTTTCCGCTTGCACGGGTGCTCCCCCCCGCCCCCCCCCCCTCCTCCCCTCCCGCACTCTCTCTCTTCCCTGGCCCCTGCCTGAAGCACGCCTCCCCCCCCCCCGCGCCGCGTCGCTCTCCTCCTCCTCCTCCTCCTCCTCCTCCTCCTCCTCCTCCTCCTCCTCCTCCTCCTCCTCCTCCTCCGCCGCACCCCGTGAGTCGACGCCGGCGCGCCCATCCTCGAGGAGGAGGACGAGGAGCCTCCCCGAGGGGAAGCTCGGCGGCGACGACGGCGGCGACCCAGACACTCGGCTGCACGCAGGAGTTGAAGGGGAACTGGGACACACAAATAAATACACACAAATAAAAATATCCCCTATATTTTCCCATATTTTCTGGGTTTTTGTCTTCCCCCCCAATTCCCATATTTTCCCATATTTTCCTGGGAATCGAGGATTAATTGTGTCTGTGTGTTTTTTTCCCTCCTGAGGAGTGACCGTTCGCCGGAGTGACCTCCGTAGCGCGGGCGCATTGGGGTCCCCGGAGGATCGGAAGCGATGCGAAAGCAGCAGCTTGCGCGCTCGGGCCGGGCCTCCCCGCGGCCCGGGCCGCTCTTGCCCAGGGTCGCTCCTGCGTGCAGCCGAGGCACCCAGATCGGCGGCGAAGTCCGAAGCCGACCCTCGCCGGTCCACGATTCCGGCAGCTCGACGGGCGGAGGGGGTACGGTTCGGAGTTTGAACACGTGGCCAGAATTGAACCCTACCCCTGCCGCTCGTCGATTCAGGAGAATCGACGCTTGTTGGGGCCAGGGTCGGATGTTGCGTCGCGTCGCGGCAAAAATCACGACGGAAGGTTTTTGCCGTGTTCGGCCTTGGGGGGCCTTCGCCGGGCCCCAGGACTGTCAGCAAAACGACTCGGGATGCAAACGTGACCCAGGACTTCAGGGTCTGGTAAGGGACACCGGATGTCTGGGGAGGAAGAGGGCGAGGGAGAGGAGATTCGGGAGTGGGAAGAGCGACGGCCGCAACAGGGAGGAGATGGAGGAGGATGAGGAGGAGGAGGAGGAGGAGGAGGAGGATGCAGACCCACGACCATCACTGGGAATAGGAACTGGACGAACATCTCGTCTTGCACTCACGGCGAACAGGGTGTTGCGGTCGAAACGAATTACAGCTTACGGATCACAATGTGACGAGTTGTTTGAGACCTGCATCGGTGTCTCGCACTGTGGGTCTCAACCTTTGTTCTGAGACATGACCGTCGACGGCAACAACAACTGCGAGGAGGAGAGGAGGGCGAGCGAGCGAGCAAAGAAGGAGAAGGAGGAGGAGGACGAAGAGGAGGAGGAGGAGGAGGAGGAGGAGGAGGAGGAGGAATAAGAGAGGTGGATGATGCGGAGGAGGAGGGGAGGAGGAGGAGGAGGAGGAGGAGGAGGAGGAGGATTTTTGAGCGCTTTCGATGGCCTTCAGCCTCTGTGGGGGCTCTGCGTGAGGCTTCCATTGGAAAACTTCTGGGGGCCTGCGGAGACCCCCTGCAGCCACGTGGACGTCTGGAGGCCTCCAGAAGTTTCGAGATCTAACAGCCGCAACCTGTCGGGTGGGGAAGAAGTTCCCCCCCCCGTCCTCGTGCATCCTTCTTCCCATCCCTTCTTCCCCACCCCTCGGTGCTCTCGAGGGAGGAGGAGGAGGAGGAGGAGGAGGAGGAGGAGGAGGAGGAGGAGCAGGAGGAGGAGGAGGAGGAGGAGGAGGAAAGAGAACGAGGAGGAGGAAGAGAAGGAGGAGGAGGCGGAGGAGGAGGAGGAGGATTTCCTTTGCGCACGCGCCTCCAGCCCACTGCGTTGTCACATGCGGGGCCCTGGCCGCCACATTGGGCGCCCAGGGCCCCCGAGGTGCCCCGCACACACGAGCTTCTGGCGAGCATGCTCGAGCGGAACGGGGAAAAACCCGGCCCCACGGGCTGACGGAGGGAGGAGGCCTTGCCCCGTTCTGCACTGGAAACAACTGGCCCAGCAGAACGGGCAGCACCCCCCACCCCCCGCCCGCCAGAGGGACCCGAGCAACAAGGCTTCGGACCCCAGGACGGAACACCGCACGACACGACGGGGGAGACGGGCGCCCGAAGGCGGTGAACGCGCCGCCGCCCTTGGGGCGGGCCTGGGGGCCTGGCAGTGGAGAAGGGGACCCCGCTTTGGGGGCCGTCCCCAGGGGACGGGTGCTTGGGCCCCGAAGGCCAGGTGCTCCCCGCTTGCAACAGGGGTCGCATTGGCCAGGCACCCCGCTGATGGAGGTGCCCCCCCCCCCCCCCCGGGGGAGGAGGAGAGGAGGAGAGGGAGGAGGAGGAGAGGGAGGAGGAGAAGGAGGAGGAGGACCAGTGCAAAGTCAAGAGTCATCAACGATGTTGGAATATAAACCCTCCCTCCAAGCTCCCTCCTCACAGGCCCCTACAAGGGTTCATTTCCACTGAGGGAACTGCCTTGTTGGAAGACAGCCGTTTGAAGACCTTGAAGCATGTCCAAACATTCTCGGGATTTGAACGCCACGGAACTGTTGCGTCTTGACGATCCTGAGTCGCATCATGACGCCATTCCTGGGACTTCAACATCGCGAATCAACGTAACTGTTGAACCCTCATAATCACTAGTCCTTCCAGAACACTGTTTCTGGTTCGCTGATCATGGGAATCCGTGAAATTCTGGCGAAGGTTTAAAACGACTGTGCGCGGCGCTAATGCGAGAGCCACATTTTGAGAAAGAGCCGCCCTCAATCCGCGAAGCTCTTGCAAAGTTTTAAAACAAATATGCGCGACGCTAAGGCGAGAGCCACATTTTGAACAGGATCCGCCCTGAATCCGTTCAGCTCTTGCGAAGTTCTAAAACGAATGTGCGCGGCGCTGAGGCGAGAGCCACAGTTTGAAAGCCATTCGCCTTCAACCCGTGCAACTCCTGCAAAGTTTTGAAACGGATGCGCGCGGCGCTAAGGCGATAGCCACATTTTCAAAACGGCCCGCCCTCCATCTTTGATACGGTTGCCAACGTTTTAGCTTCAGGCCCATTCGTGGTGAGGAATTCTCCAGCGAAGCGCCCGGCCCGCCCTAAAAACTCGCCGCGGAGCGCGACAGGGGAAAAGTGCTTGTAAGGAAAAGAAGCAATAGAAGAGCAGGAAGAGGAGGAGGCGGAGGAGGAGGAACACGCATGATGCTTTGTTCCTGATGTCTTGGCAACGCAAGAGGAGGAAGGAAGGAAGGCTCGGCCTCAGCGCTGGCCGCGCCGCCGTCTCAGAGACGGCGGCGCGGCCCCCAGAGGAGTATACGGGTCACGCCCGTCGCCCGTCGCGTGGCGGGCTGGGCGGGCCCGCGCGCGGGCGGGCCCCCGACGGGGCCGCAGCGGGCCGCCCCCTCGGGGCCGCGTGCGGGACCCGCTGCGCGCGAGCGAGGAACTCGCGCAGCGACTCCCCGCGCCTCCGGAGGCAGGCCGCGCGCCTGCGGCCCGCACCGGCGCCCGCGGCCGGCTCGAGGGGCGCAGCACCTCGCGCGGGGCCGCGGCCTGCACGGCGGGCCCGGCACGCGGCAGCGGGCGGCGTGCCACGGCGGGCGCCGCGGGGCCCGACGCCACCAGGAACTCCTCCTCCTCCTCCTCCTCCTCCTCCTCCTCCTCCTCCTCCTCCTCCTCGTTTCCATATTCCTCCCCCCTCCCCCCCCCCCCCCCTCCTCTGCCCGCCCCGCGCGCGGGGCCTCCAGGGGGCGCGTGGCGGCGCCCAGGAGGCAGGCGACGGCCTCGTGGGTGCGCCACTCCCTCTCGGCGCCCTCCAGCTCGCTGCGCGGGGGCCGCGGCCCAGCGCCCGCGCCCGCGGGAGGGCCCGCCGCTCGGGGGCAGCGGCGCTGCTCCCGCGGGGGGCTCTCGGCCCCCATGGCACCGTTGGCGCCCCGTCCGCGGCGCTCTGCCCGCCCGCGGGGGGAGAGCGGAGCTCGGGGCGCGGGGCCGGCGCCGCGGCCGCGGCGGTCTCCGCGCCCGGCGCGTCCAGGCATAATCCTCAGCTCTGGCCAGGAGCAGCGAGTCACACGCCCAATGGATGCTTGTTTTTTATGCTTAGTTTCTGGGATGCTTCCAAGTCTAGGTCTCCCGGAGCTGACCTCTTCAATGGCCCCAGCCCGCGCGTCGCGCTGGCCTCGCGTTCGCAGTGCCATGGTCTCTAGCTGCGAAAAAGGTCGCGCCAAAGTCGGGCGCCCCATGGGCTTGGGAATGGTTGCCGCTGCTTGGCAGCTCTTTTGCAGTGCTTCGCGTAGCTTGGCATTGCTTGGCACTGCTTGACTGTTCTCAAGAACGGGCTCGGGGACCCATGGGGACCCCGCTGAACTCGAGCACCCCAGAACATGTCGGGAAAACTTCCAGGGCGAGGGAGCAGGAGGAGGGAGCAGGAGGAGGGGGCAGGAGGAGGAGGAGGAGGTCCACCAAATGGCGAAGCATCGGAAAACCTACCGAGAGGGGCGGGGGGAAGGATGGGGGGGAGTGAGGAGGAATGGGAGGACCATGTGACTCATGCCGAAAGCGTCCGCACAGCGTCCTGGAGGGAGCGAGGGAGGAGGAGCGAGGAATATGGGGCCCAACGGATGCCGAAGATATGCTTACAATCGCCACGGCGGAGGGGGAAGGGGGAGGAGGAGCAGCAGGGGGGACGCGTAAGTGGGGCGAGGATGAGGTCCCACGTATGCCGCACAAGCCCCGGGAAAAATTGCGCGAGGGAGGGAAGCAGGAGGAGGTGCCAGAGGACGAGGCAGGATGCAGGATGACGGCCAGGAGATCCCGAAAATGGATGACATCTTATCCTGACGGAAAGCGGGAGCTGGGGAGGAGAAAGGGTGCGGCAATGAGGTAGAAAAGATATCGGTGGTGTCCCAAATAAAGAAGCCTACAGAAGGGGGGAAGAGGACGACGAGGGAGGATGATGATGAGAGGGGGACGACGAAGAGGGAGGCGGACGACCGGGGAGGAGGAGGAGGAGGAGGAGGAGGAGGAGGAGGAGGACGAGGAGAAGGACGAGGAGGGTGGAGGACGACGACGGAGGAGGACGATGAGGACGGATTCCGTCGACGGACCAGGACGAGAAGGACGGGGATGGAGGAGGGCGACGGGGGATGAAGGCGAGGGGGATAAGAACGAGGAGGGAGGAGGACGACGAGGGAGGAGGACGAGGAGGGAGGAGGAGGAGGAGATGCAAGGGGAATCGAGCACGACCACGAGCGGGTCACCGCGCGGGCCACCGCGCGCGGGCCACGGCGCGCGGGATCTCGAGCACGACCACGAGCAGCGGGCCACAGCGGCCGACAGTGGACCCCTGGGATTCATCCCAAACTCCAGGGGGCGCCACAGGATTCATCCAAAAACCTACCTGGGGCCACCCCGCGATTCATCCAAAAACAGCCCCCGGGGGCGCCCCGGCATTCACCCCGAGACTGCCCCCTGGGGGCCGCCGAAACGGATTCAAACAGTCATCCAACAGCTCCTCTTTTTCTACACTTTGTTTCGGACAGTAACAACATTGGATGAGTCTTTGGATTTGGTTTTCCAGAGCGGTTTCCCTGCGACAGGAGGAGGGGCGAGGAGGAGAGGAGGAGGAGGAGGGGCGAGGAGGAGGAGGAGGAGGAGGAGGAGGGAGGAGGAGGAGGAGGAGGAGGAGGAGGAGGAGGAGGGGTCTGCGGGCGCCCTCTTGGCCTCCGCATGCGACACGCCGCCAGCACCCTGTGGCGAGAGCACGCCCCGCCGCCGGACACCCTGCGGCCTCCGACGGGCTGACTCCCGGTCGCCCGCAGCCCTCCTCCCCCTCCCCCTCCCCTCCCCCCCCTCCCCTCCCCCTCCCCCTCCTCCTCCCCCTCCTCCTCCTCCTCCTCCTCCTCCTCCTCCTCCTCGGGCATGGGCCTCCGAGCAGCCCCCATGTGAAAACTCGGAGAGCCCGCCAGAGCCTGCAGGAACGCCCCAAGCCTCCCAGCGCCCCGCGGCGCCAGCCCGGAACCCGGGCGGAGTCCCCTCATGCCACCAGAGTCGTCCGGCGACCGCGAGGGTCTACCGCAAGCAGCAGCGCATCGCCGAGGGTATACGCGATCGGCGCGAAGCCTGCGCGCTGTCCTGCGCCGCGAGGGCATCCTGGGAGCCCCGCGGGCCCGTCCACCTGGGCGGTCGAGCGTGGCACGTGGCTGTATCCAAGGCAGGGGGCGAGGTCCGCGGGCCCACGCACCAGTCAATCGAAGCGCTGGAAGTCATGCGTGTGGCACTGGATTTCAGCCGAGCCTGTCCCTCTACAGGAGGAATATCCAAAAATAGTCGAAAAAACTAGCACGGGGACGATTTTTTGATTATGTTTGCTCATTTTGGTTGCATTTTTGGGGTATCATTTATTTTTCGCCCAGAGTCCCCCTGCAGGGGGACACGCCCGACTTAACACTGGATGCCTCCGGCGTCGGGGTCTTTCCAGCACGCGCGGAGCTTCGGAGCTCCCCTGGCCCACCCCTCCCCCCCACTCGGGGGTGGACAGACCTACCCTGACACGTCGATTAATTAGCGAATTGGCCGTTTTCGATTCGCGAGGGGGCGTCGCGGCCGGCATTTTTGCGGGTCCAGGTCCGTCGGTTTCGGTCCCAGGCCGTTTTCACTAAAGGGTGGTTTATTAAAGGGAGGTTTGTCCACCGCCGACCCACATGGGAGTGCTGATGCAGGTGTCGTGTACAGCCAGCCGCAAACTTAAGGATGGAGCGGCTTTCCCAGGGCACCCTGTCATCCTTGCATGTTCGGCCCATCCTTAGCCCCTAAAACTGGCCATGTTCGCACAAAGCGGCTTCGGCTGGGGCGTCCCCATGATGCCATTGCAGGAGGGGGGGGGGGGGGGGGGGGGGGGGGCGAATTCGGGGCTCTCGGGGGGGGGGGCGGGGCCCGCCCGACGCTCATCCTGTAATTCGGGGTGCCTCTGGCCAGCAAGCATCCCCACCTGTTCCGCGTGGCCTTCCTCCGAGGGCCGTGCTCCGTGGGGCCGACTGGATCCCGCAAGGGCTCCCCGCAAATCCCGCGTGGACTTCCGCTGAGTGCCGTGCTCCGCGGATCCCCCTGGATCCCCGCAGTGCCCCCCCCCCCTCCGCGTGAACTTCCCGCCAAGGGCTGTGCTCCATGGGGCCCCCTTGGGTCCCCGCAATGGCCGCAGCGGCCCCGAGCGCCTCGGTCAGGGGCGAGGTCCCCCACCGCCCCGCAGCGCATTTCACCATGCAAACAACGGGACACGCATGTAGGGTGGCCTGGAAAAACGTAGCGGTCCCCGCCCCGCAGCCCGCCAGCATCGTGCGACGCGTCCCCATCCCCACTGTGCCATGCATGGCTTCTTAGCAACACCAGCCCACCCTCCCAGGTGGGATTGGGCCCGCAAAGTCTGAAGGAACAAGCCAATGTCTCCATTTCAGGTGGAGAAATCGGCCAGCGGGGCCAAGACCACGCCAGTGGAGATGGGTATCGGTTGATCGATGCTTAGCCCCCCCCCCGCTGACGGATGGGCGAGGAGGACGACCCGCGGGAGAGCGGCGTCTGCGTCTCCGACCTGGGCCTTGAGCTCTGGGAGGACGCCGCCCTGCGCGACCCCCCGCCCTCCCCAGGCCTCCAGCGACGCGGGCCTCTAGCGCCTCCCGAACTGGTAGGGAAAAATGGGCCATCGAGAGGCTCCTCTAGATGACACCCACCTCTGTCTAGAGTTGCCCTTTGAGTCCCCTCCAAAGGAGATGCAATCGTGATCTCCCTAAAGCCTCCTAGGGCTCCCATGAGGCAGCTTTTAGCTTAGGCTGTCGAGAAGGTTCGGCATGATCTTGGGAGCAAGACCGACAACTGTCCATGTCCAGTTGGGACAGGATTCACCGTGGGTGTCGCCGTGGGCGTGGCCCGCTCAAGGCAAAAGACCGGCTGCTCAGCAGCGACGGCTGCCGGAGTTGGACAACGTTTGCTGTTTTGGTATCGTGCCCAGTTACCTTTACTCGGGGGTGGACAGAACCCCCAACAGTGACACGTCGATTAGTGAATTGTCCGTTTTCGGTTTTCGAGAGGGCGCCGTGGCCGTTATTTTCCAAGCTTGCGCCCGCCAGGTTTGGGCCTCAGGTCGTTTTCACTAAACCACGTTTTGCTAAAGGGGGGTCTGTCCATCCCCGATTTACACGGCTGAGGCGTGCGAATCTCCAGTTTGGGTCCCTGGAGCCCCTCGGGCTTTTGAGGTCCACGGTTCGAACAACATCAGACCCGCTTGTGCTCGACATGTTCTGCCCATTGACCACTTCAATCCGATCGGCTCGATATCGGTTTCGGCCGGCCCGCTCCGATTCGATTCCGATATGCCGACGGCAAGTACGGCCCGATGCTTGCGCGGTGCTCAGTGGTGGACGCGCATCGTAGCGCAGCCGATCCGACCTGGTCTCGAACCCGCGCCGATGCTGTCCGATCCGACGCGCATTCCGATCCGACCCGATGTCCCCGATTCGATGTTGACTGATCCTGCCTCCAGGGGCCGTCCGCCAGATCCGCGTGCCATTGCGAGGAGACGGCCCGGGACGGGCCCCCAGGACCGAGGGGCCGAAAGGCCACAGAGCTGCCCCCCCCCCCCCCCGTAGGGCACCGAGCGCGTGTACAGTTACGACATGTGCAGCATGTGTTCATGGGCTTGCGCATGGTGTTTTTTTCCGTCCATGTGTTCTTGGGCTCGCAGCTCGTGCAACAGCTCAGGGAAGTTGCAAACACCCTGACAACTGCCCTTGTTTGACGTTGTTTAGCTGTTGTGTCGTTTCCTGGCCTTGCTATACATTATGCCTTGCCTCTCTCTCTCTGTCTCTGCCTATCTCTCTCTCTCTCTCTGTCTCTCTCTCTCTCGCTCTGTCTGTCTGTCTATCTCTCCTTCTCTCTCTCTCTATTATTCTGGCTGTCTGTCTCATGTCTTTCTTTTGTGCTCTAATATCAGTGTGTGTAGACATCCACTAATTGTGAGGGCCTTCGCTAGGATTCCGCTTGTAGGGGATTTCGTTTGGAATACTTCTGTGGCGGATTTTAATGGGAGATTTGTTTTGCGGAGTTTGTGCATAGAATTCGTTTTGTTCCGGTGGTTAGCAATGGAAATCCTTGTGTGGAGGGTTTCAATGATGTTCGTTGCGCGGATGGTTACAATAGACTTGTAGTGCTTGCGCGGGGACGTTGCATTTGTCGCGAGAAGATGTTGTGCCCAGAACTGAAAGCTGAGCCTTGCATTGCCGTCTATTGTAGGCGACCCCAGTGACGTCAACTCGCTGGGTTCATGGACGATCAGGTGCATTGTTCTCCAACTAGGGACCGAGTTCACGCCCGACGATAACAAAGTCAACGTGTCGAGCAAATGTTTTCTGGAAGACCCATCTTTCGAGCCCATCCTCGAAGGCCAGGAAGCTCGATGCGCTTACGCGCGCTACTTCATGTTGCCGCGGTGGATGAACTATCCCAGGGAGGTCACGCGGGCAAGCTGGATCCACGTCAACAGCCGCATCAAAAAACACGATCGCCTTCGCGAGTCGAACGGCACACGGTGGTTTGCAAGATCCGTTGGCCGACGCCGTGCCTTAGGACTTGGCATCGCTCGGACGTGTGCAGTTTTCCTTCGGCGAGGACCGTCGAGGAACATCCTTGATCATTTGGCGAAAACCACGCACGAAACCGAAAAAAACACAGGGAATGGACGTCCGAGCGATGGCGAGTGGGACTACGTGCCAGGCAACCCGCCGAATGACAGTCGACCGCCTGCTGGCCCCAGTGCTGACAAGAAATTGGCGCGCGCAGTGCACGCGGCCACGAATGCGGCAACGCAAATCGGAACATCCTCAATCAGTCGGATGGCGGCGATCCCCGGCGCGGGCACGAAGACGAGCTCGAAAAACCAGAAATCCAAACACCAAGAGTTGGCATACGCAGAGAATGCTTAGCCTTACGTTTGCACCCAAGCGGAAGTGGCGGCCACGACAGACTCGGTCTCGACCCCGAGCGCGTCGAGCACCTCTTGGCGACTCATGGTCTCAAGCATCTCGGAATTCGGGACGAGCGGGGTCCGGTTTGGGCCAGCGCCAAGATCTTCAAATACACATTCGCACATCGCTCTAGCGATGACAGTGGCGACTCGGGTTGCGACTACAGCAAAGGCGACGCGCGCGCATGTGCGCTGACGGAGCGGGAGAATACTGTTGCGCTGCAAGCTCGCAAGCTGGCCTGCATGACCGCAGGCCTGACATGCTGATCAAGTAGATCGAACGGTGCGCGAAGGAAGGCGCTGTCATGGGGCATGACATCCATCGACCAATTACGTATTATCGAAACATGGCCTCCCTGACAGATTGTATGCACGCCGCCTTGCGCCGCAATGGCTCGCAAAAGATTGGTGGCGGCCTGTGGCGTTGACTGGCTTGAGCTACAGTGCCGACATCCAGAAAAAGGTTTCCCGCGCTGCTTCTTCGAGAAGGAAGGGAATTTCATGCGAGAGATGCAAGTCCATTGCGGCCGCTGGAGAGGTTCGCCCAATGCTGCGACGCCCGGATGACATTCGTCAGCGAAGACCTCCCGCTTGATCGCTCGAAAGCAGAGGAGATGATATCACGACTTTTTGGTTTGGGCCCGCCCGCGGGTAAGGTTCCGTTCTTGTGGTCGCTCGCCGCTGACGCGGGGCGGGCCAGGGGCGTCGCCCCTAGATCAACAAACGTTCAACACCTTCGCCGCAATTTCTGTGCACGGCCACGGCCAACTTCAGTTGTCTTGCCCAGTGCCCTGTCGGCGCGCGCGGGCGTCGCAGCGCAGGTCGCACGCCAGCGCAGTGGCAACGCTGGGGCGTCGCATGCTCCATTTTCGATGAACTCACGATATCGGAGCGTGCATTTGGTTTCCGAGCAGATGAAGTCTTCGGCGACATTCAAGAGGACTGCGGGCTGGCGCCCGCGGTGGCCATGGCGTCGCCATTGCGCCCGCTGCCCGGAGAACTGCCCCTGGCTTCGCGCGGCTGGCTTCAGGCGGCTGCTCCGGCCCAGAGCTGCGGCTTTGCGTCGCGCCTGAAGTGACCGTCGTATGCCTGTGCAAACCTGTGCATCGCTGGATTCACCTCTCGGCGCAGGCGTGGATGTCGCGCGATGGGTCTCTCGCCGCGCGCCAGTTCAGCGATCTTCGCGGCCGCAGATCGCAGCGCGATGATTACGCGCCGTGGCAGCAAGAGCGTCGCGGTACGACCCGCGACAATTCCCGGGCAAACTCGCAGCTGGCGCTTCGGCAGCTACGCGCGAACACCTCCGGGCACTGCGCGGCCGCCGAGGCGCGCGAAAAGCAGCTCTGCATGTTAGACTCGGCGCCCGGCGCCGTCATCCGCAGCCCCGCTGCGCGCTTCCGACCGGCCGCCGCGCTATAAGACGGCCTCGCGTTGTTCCTCGCCATCGATGCCGACGCGGGGCCCGCCCTTGAATTGGAGAGCCCAGCGCGCGATTCGGATGGCCGCGGTCCGTTCGGCGCAGAGAATCGGGCGCGCGATGACATTGCGCGCGCCCGAAAAGTCGCGCCTTCGTCGGGCCGCTGCTCCCGCGGCCGCGACGTTGAGCTAACTGCGTCGCCGAAACACTTGGCGACGTTGGTCTTGCCGCATCGCGCGCGCGGAGCGGCCCGCTGCGGGCCGCCCGTGACAATGCTATAACGCCGAGGCCCCGTCGAGCTCGCAGCGGCGCCGCGGCTCGCAGCGGGCGCTCTCGGATTTTGCGGGCGCGCTCGCGGCGCCCAGGGCCCCGCCGCCCGCGCGGCGGCGCGTCTGCGCGAGAGCTCCAGGACAGCAGTGACATGCCCCGCCCGCTCGGCCTCCAAGTGAATCACTCTCCGCCGTCGCGCGCGCGCGGCGGCGGGCGCTTCGCGGTGGGCGACGGGGGCGCCCCGGTGCAACTATTGGGGGGGTCAGTGTCAGATGTCGCCTCGGCCCCAAATTCAGTTCCATCGTTTCTACTTAGCTTGGCGCGGTTTTGTCTGGCTTCGCATTTAATTCGCGGCCTCATCCGGCGAGGCGGACCCCCGCCGGGCCTTGCAGCCGCGTCGAAGAGCAAGGGTGAGCAACGCCCCAAGTGAACGCTTGTATCCTTAAGCTTTGTTCTACGCCCCTAGGTCTCGCATCTTCGAACGCCGCTGGCGTGGCCCACCAAGCCCTCGCGCCCTTGCCGCGCGTAATCCCCGCGCGCCTCGATGGCAATCCATTTGAATCCTTGCGACGAAGATCCTTTGCAGTCGCCTGTTGAGAAATGGCCGCGCCAGTGGATCACGCGACGGCGGCTGCGCCGTCGCCAGCGTCCGCGGCGACGGCGCAGAGCTGGCGTCGCCGCCAGGTGCCGAGAAGACAATCCTGGGCGCGGCGTCTGGGATGCAAGAGACCTCCAAGGTGTCGAGGGTCAACTCAACTTTCTGAGTCACGAGAACGAACGACGGCGATTCTCTTTTCGGTTTGCCTGTGGGCCCCTCAGCGGGGATCGCGAAGCCGCCGGAGCGCGCGGCGAACGGCGTCTCAGACCTCGGCCCCTGCAAGGACAGTCAGGGTCGGCGGCGATCTCGCGCTGCCCGAATCGACGTTTCCAGCGGAGGTTCATCGGGGGCCACTTCGAGCACCGCGAGAGGCAACCGGCGCTGGGGGGCGCGGCTGGCCGACGGGCGACGGTCGTTGAGACGCTGGCGAGCTGGGTCAGGCCAGACCTTGCGCGCCCGAGCTGCTTGGCGCTCGGCTACGAGGCGGGGGCGGCTATCTGCGTCGCAACTCCGGGGGGGTGCGGAATTTCATTGGCGTCGACAGCGCGGCGCGCATCAGCGACGCCCGCGCGCGCCTCTCGCAGGACGTTCGCGGCCCTCGGTCGCGCGAATTTTTCGCGCCATTTCAGAAATTATTATTTTGGTGGTTCCGCCAATTGATTCTCGGTCGCAGAGCATATGCGCGCGTCCGCGACAGCGTGATCGAGCATTGCTTGCCTGCTGGCGGTGGGCTGTTTTTCTCGGCCCCAGGTTGCACGCTGTTCGGGGGGTCGCTATCAAGCTTTGTTTCAGGTAGCTGCTGCGTGCAAAAAGAAAAGAATTGACCGGCTGAGCTACCGATTGATGCCGCTCGATTCGTCATAGAAGCGCGCGCTGTCGGTGGTCGGCCAGGGGCGCCACAGGAGGGAGGACAGCGCCGTGGACCTTTCGGGATTTCAACGCGTCCACGCCACGGTCCCAGACGCCCCCCCCCCCTACTTGGTTTGCAAACCAGGTCGCAGCGCTGGCGTTCCAGAGCTGGCGAGCTGCATGAGGTCGAATGCGCGTTTTCTTCCGCAGAGGAGCCAAACAGATATTGCGCCGTGTGATGCGCCAGAAGTGGAGTTTGCAGGTCGCGCGGAGATATATCCAAACATCAAGTGCGTTGGCGGAGACCCACTTCAAGCGTGGATGCCATGTGTGATATTTGTGTGACAAGGCGGTCGGCTCTGCGGAGATAGCAAGGTGGTCTCGCTGAAGCTCAATAGCGAGCCAGCGCAGACTTCGAAATGCAAACGGCACTTCGACATCGGACAACCAAGAGGCCAAACCAATAATCAATTCGAAGCTTGCCCTGCGTAGCAGAACAAGGCACACCTGGATCACGAGCAATCCTGCGTCGACATCATGGCGGCGATGGCCGCGAACGTGAATGCGTGCAAAAGGCCGCTCGCAGGCCGCAGATCCAAGTCGACAGTCAGGTGATCTGCTCTCTAGGCATGGCGGCCCCGGATTGTATCGCCAATACGTACAAGTATATAGAGCCAGAAATCGCTCGCCATGCCAGTTTGGGACAGCGCCGGATGATGCTACGACGTCCAAGCTGAAGTCGAGCAACGCAAGCGACTTCACTTCAAACCCCGAGCGATGTAGGCAGACCCAGGATCTCTCTTTATGTTTGACAAGTTCCAACCTTGCACATGAAGAGGCGCGCTCTTGAGGGAATTTTCGACAAAGAGGCCGCGCCATGGCACGCCCACGCGATGACGGTTCTCCGCCAGCAGCTCAAGCAAGCGCAAGCGCACGTTCGCCGCTGGGCTATCTGAGCGCCGAAAGCACAAGCTGATGCCCGCGGCCTGCAACGTTCCCCCTTGCTGTGCAAGTGATACCATCGCTTGCCATCTCGACGTGCGTGTTTGGAAATAATTCGTGAGTCGCATGTTTGCTTAACCTGGGACGTTCCAGCTATTCCGAGGACCTCCCGCGCCGACGCTCGACTTCTTCGCGCGAGGGGAGCGACAGGCGAGGGGGGAGCGAGGGGAGCGAGGGGGCGACAGGAGGAAGAGGGGCAGCATAATGATGGGAGAAGGCAGGCGGAAGGAAGGGAGGGTTTACGACCAAGGCGGACAGAGGCGACACTTCGTATCGTCAGTCCTCGGGGAGCCGTCACTTGCGTGGAAAACTGCGCGCTGCAATTGCACAAGCGATGCACCGCGCGGGCCCCACCCCCAGGAACGCAAAGGTATACGCACTCTCGCGCGTCGCGGCCCGGCCCAGACGGCTGCCCTTCTCCAAAGGGCGGTGCGTCTTGGCGCGAAGTGAAGTCTCGCGCCGCGCACAGCGGGGGCGCGAGGGCGCCAAGTATGGGTGAGTTGCAGAAAACTTGCTTTGAGGATGAGCCTTTGAAGCAAGGTGCCCTGGCAACCGTCGATCCTGGGCGTCCGTTGCATGATTTTTGCGTCCTCGGTCCGTGGGCACCCTGGCATCCTGACACGTTCTAGGCGGCGCCTTTACGTGCCAGCCCTGAGGTCCGAACGTGCAAACAATGCAGCGTCGCAACAAATCACGACCGCATGCCTCGACTCCATTTGTTTGCGCGATTGCCCAGCCGGATCGATATGTGAGGGTCCTGGGGCCCGACACTGGGCGAAAACGCCCCAGCGCGAAAATAATCGCAACGCCTTGATTTGCAGGTATGCTCTATGCTCGTCCCTTGCCGCTGGTCTAGACTGTAGGTGGAGAGGCCCGCACTTCGAGGCGACCGCGACACGTCGGATGCCTGGACCCCCGTCGACGGCGGCGGCGACAGCGATAACGTCGTCGAATCGCGCCGTCGACGGCGGCGATTGCGACGACGACGTCGTGGACGTTCACGACGTCGTGGACGTCGTGGACGGCGGCGACAGCCCCCGGCGGAGACCCGGAGGGGCCCGCGCCTCGGGCCCCTGCGCGCTGCGCCGTCTCAGGCGGCGGCCGCCCCCGCGCCGCCCGGAAGCCCCGGGCGCCGCGCGGGGCCGCCCCGGGGCGGGGCCCTGCCGCGGGGGCCTCGCCTCGGTGCGGTTTCGGCGGCGGGGCGGCGGCGCCCGCGGCGACGACCATGCACGCGCGGAGGCTTTTGGGGCGCAGCGCGGGTCGCCTCGGGCTGGGGTGAAGTCGGGCTTGTCCGTCTACAGGAGGAATATGCAAGAATTCTCAAGATAATTTGGGGGCGATGTCTTCATTATGCTTGACAATTCGTGGAATATGGGAATCTCTTTCATTTTTCGTCCAAAACCCGCCTGTATATGGGGGACGTGCCCGACCTAAGGCTGGGGCCCTCCCGCGGGAGCGGCGGGGGCCTCACCTCCTCCTGGCTTCCAGGGCGGGTCACGTGGCCGATCCTGGAGATCCTGAGCCCAGAAACGTTGACGTCTCAGTTCTGCCTCCGCCGGCTGCCGCTGCTGGGCCGGCCACCGTTGTGCGTCGCCGGCTCCCGCCGGCCCTGCGCCGGCTCCCGCCGAGAGTGAGGCTTTGGCGATCGACGGTCGATCCATGCCCCTGCGGCTGCTCCCCATTCTGGGCAGGAGGTGCTGCAGGGTGTGGATCGACGAAAACGTGGACTCGGGCATCGGAGGCCACGGTTTCATCCACACGAGCAGGGGCATGGATAAATTAATTCCAAGAGGGGAAAAACACACAGACACAATTAATCGTCGCTTCCCTAGAAAATGTGGGAAAATATGGGAAGTGGGGGGGAAGACCCAAAAAAACAGAAAATATCTGAAAATATAGGGAATCTGTTTATTTGTGTGTATTTATTTGTGTGCCCTGGGGCCCCTTCAAAATTGTGGACCGCTTCAGGAGTGCGTCGAAGGCGAGGCCCCTTGCTGGAGCGGGCCACGCGGGGCCAGAGTCCAGCACGCCTCGTGGGGCGCAAGGGCCTCGGCGCCGCAGCGCCGCAGGAGTGGCGGGCCGAGTTCCCCCTGGAGGTGCTGAACAGCCTCGCGGAGTTCTACGAGGGCTGCGAGGCAGAGCGCCCTCGGGGGGTCCCCACGAGGGAGCTCGGAGCTCGCATGGGAGGGGTCGGGGAAGAGGAAAACGGAGGAGGAGGAGAAGGAGAACAACGAGGATCTAGAGTGAGGAGGAGGAGGAGGCGGAGGAGGAGGAGGATGGGGATGAGAAGGAGGAGGAGGAGGAGCAGGAGGGTAACGACGAGGACTCGGAGGGATGAGGAGGCGGAGGAGGAGGAGGAGGACGAGGAGGAGGAAGAGGACCTGTGTAAATCCAAGAGTCATCAACGATATTTGAATAACCCTCCAAGCTCCCTCTTCATAGGCCCCTACGACATGTCATTTCCTCTCAGGGAACAGCCTTGTTGGAAGACAACCGTTTGAAGACCCTGAAGCATGCCCAAACATTATTCTCCGGATTCCAACACCATGACTGTTGCGTCTTGACGATCCTGAATCGTGCCAGAAAACATTCCTGGGATTCAGCACCGCGAATCAACCTAAGTGTTGCGCCCTCATAATCCAGAATCCTTTCAAAACACCGTTTCTGGTGCGTTGATCATGGGAATCCGTAAAACTCGTGCAATTTTTACACCGAATGCGCGAGGCGCTAAGGCGAGAGCACATGTTGAAAAGGAACCGCCCTCCAACCGGGGAGCTCTTGTCATTTTTAAAACGAATGCACGCGGCGCTAAGGCGAGAGACACGTTTTGAAAACGACCTGCCCTCAATCCGTGAATTTCTTGGAAAGTTGATATACGAATGTGCGCGGCGCCAAGGCGAGAAACGCATTTTGAACAAGACCCGCCCTGAATCCGTGAGGTTCTTGCAAAGTGTAAGCACAAATGTGCACGGCGCGAAGGCGAGAGTTTCATTGTGAAAACGACCGGCCCTCAATCCGTGAAACTTTTTGCCAATGCTTGACACGAATGTGAGCGGCGCTACGGCGAGAGCCGCATTTTGAAAACGACCCGCCCTCAACCCGCGAAACTCTTTGCACTTGTTTGAAAACGAATTTGGGCGGCGCTGAGGCGAGAGCCACATTTTTAAAACGGCCCGCTTCAACCCGTGAAGTTTTTGCAATGTTTTGTTGCGAATGTGCGCGGTGCTAAGGCCAGAGCCACATTTCAAAAACGGCCCGCCTTTCATCTGTCAAATTGCTGCCGATTCTAAAGCTTCAGGGTCATAAGTGGTGAGGAATTGAATCGATGAGAGGGTAAACGGGGATGCTGACGGGTTTCTCTTTTTGCCGCTCTCGCCGCTCTCTCTTTCTCTCTCTTTAAGCATCCCAGGGGGTCCTCGCCGACAGCTATGGAGTCATCTGCAGACCTCTGGAGGCAGGAGAAAGACGAGGAGGATTATGTGTCCCCGCATGTTTGGGGCGTCCTGGAAGGCACTCATCGCCGCGGCCGCCACGGTTGGATTGGCCCATGAAGTTATTACCTGGGCGCGCTCCACAAATTGTCAATTACCAGGGACTGGCTGTGAGACCGAAGTGTCGAGGGAGCGTCACAGTGGGCGTCGCTGTAAAAAGCAAACAGCCAGCTGTTCCTGGACACTGGCGTTCGAGTCCTGTTTTCGACGAGGCACGTCGACGTCTGACAGATGGGCAGGTGGAGAGCGAAGCCGACGACGAGGGTGTCGAGGTGCAGGGCAAAGAGGACAAGGGATGGAGCAATCGGGGTTTGCGTTGCTAGAATCAACTTGGCAAAGCCTTGCCTCAACCAGCCGTCTAGTAAAAGGGGCTGGTGGGCACACTAGGTCGGAGCGGCGTCGATGATTCCTCCCCGAGGTACCACACACCAGCCTCTGCGTCAGAAGGAGCAACCACCACTACCCCTGCACGCGGGAGCGGCATCCTTCCCCGGAAGCAGGCTTCTTACTCAAGGCTGAAGCCTGCGGACGGCCCTCGAAGTCCCCCACAGTTGGGATGCTTGACCACGCCCGCTGCTTGTCACGCGTTCTGCGCTCGAGACTGCACCCGTGCCTCGCGCGCTCGGGAAATGTCATCCCCTGAACACCGTAGGAGACTAGGTCCCGAAGGCGCCTTCGCCCTTCGGGTGACCCTGCTGCGCGAGTGGTCTCCCGCCGCGCGCGAAAATGGTCTATGCCATTTGCGGCAGAGGTCTTCCATGCCAGCTGCCGCATGCTGGTGCGCCCGCGCTGCCACGACAGCCTGTCGATCGTCGTGTTGACGGTCACCAGGTCCTTCGTTGTGACGGCGCTGCTGTCGAGGTGCTCGCCGTTCCCGAGCAGCGCCAGCCTGGTGCTCGTACCATCCACGCCGCAGCGCTCGCTCTGGTACTCCAGATTTCGTTATAAAAGGGAGGGGGTCTGGACCCTCCAAGACAAGCCATTTCAGACCCCCCCCGTGGGAGAACCCTCCAAAACATCGTCCCCAGACCCCCCCAGGCCCTCCAAGATAGCCTGGAAGAGACCCCCCCGAAATGAGACCCCCCTCCCTTTATTACGAAATCTGAAGTACTTGCTGGTGAGGTGTAGGGCGCACTTCTGGTCGATGCCGAAGCCCGCCTGCCGCGAGGGGCCGTTGCCCGCCGGCGCAGTGACGAGGCCCTGCCTGGCGCTGCAGACGTCGTCGCAGACGCAGTCTGTAGTGAAGACGAACTCCATCCTCCTCCTCCTCCTCCTCCTCCTCCTCCTCCTCCTCCTCCTCCTCCTCCTCCACCTCCTCCTCCTCCTCCTCCTCCTCCTCCTCCTCCTCCTCCTCGCGCGTGAGCCGGACCACCTCAGGGGCCACCGCGACGGTGCCGTTGTCGCGAAGTGCTTTATCGACCTGCACGAACAGCGCCCGCACCACGCGCATTGCCTTCGCGCCGTCGTAGTCCATTGGTTATGCTTGCTGCTCAGGTTCAGGGCGAAGTTCTGGAGGAGGTCGAAGCCCTCCTGCTTCCGGGAGCCGCTGCCGTCCCGCGCAGAGACGAGATGATGTCTGGCGAGGCGTCGCCAACGCAGCTCTGGGTGACGGCGACCTCCAGGTCGCACGCGAGTGGCACCACCTCCAGGGCCGCCAATGTCAAAGCCTTCACCGCTCCCGAACATCCTCGTGCCGAGGAGCCCGATGCGCATGTCCTCCACGCGCCGCTGGCTCCGTGCTGCCGGCGCCCCGCGCCCTGCCCGCCCAGCTCTGGCGCGCTTTGCCCCTCGCTGCCCCGCTCTCGCCTCGTCGCCCCTCGCTGTCCCGCCCCGCCTCGGCGCCACGCCTCCACGCCGTAGGACTCGCGCTGGTACTCGCTGGTCAGGTTCAGGGCGAGCTGCAGGATATTGTCGGAGCCCTCCTGCTTCGAGGAGCCGCTGTCTCCCGCGCCAGTGGCGAGGTGCTGCCTGCCAGTGCCGAGCTCGTCGCCACCGCAGCCCTGCGTGAAGACGGCCTCCAGGCCGCGCGTGATTGGGGCCGACCTCGTGGCCGCCGCGACGGTGCCAGTGTCGCAGTGCTCGCCGTTCCCGAGCAGCGCCGGACCGATGCGCATGTCGTCCACGCCGCAGCACTCGCTCGGGTAGCCGGAGACCTCCTGCTCGAACGAGGCGCTGCCGTGCGGCATGCCAGGCTGGGGCAGCTCCCGCCCAGGCTGCGGGGTCGCGCCGCCGCTGCGCCTGGCCCGCCCGGCCCTGGCGCCATCGCGCGCGGCCCTGCGCCCTGGCATGCTCGGTGTGCGAGCAGGTGGTTGCGGTCGGGAACTGTTGCAGAGCGTGTCGCGCCGCCGGTCCTGGCCAACCACGCTTCGGCGCGCCGCGCCGGCGCTGTCCCTTTCCCAGCCCCCCAGCGCCAACGTCCCGAGCGTTTCTCGACCTCCCGCCCCGCGGAGCGGAGCGACACGCCATCTGCTTGCAAGGCATAACCGCATGCCCCCGAGAATAATGCACCCCCTCCCTTAAGACCAGAGTGTTAATCATCTCGGGCCAAAACAGCTTTGGTCGGCGGTAGGGAGCGGCGGGGCCGAACTTCACTATCACGGGCCAAGCTACTGATGGTATATTCAATCTTCTTACCGCATCATCATCATCAACAACATCATCATGATCGTCATCCGTATCATTGAACATTACGACTACTACTACTACTACTACTACTACTACTACTACTACTATTACTACTACTACGACTACGACTACTACTACTACTACTACTACTACTACTACTACTACTATTACTACTACTGCTACTACTACTACTACTACTACTACTACTACTACTACTACTACTACTACTACTACTACTACCACTACGACATCGACGACGACGACGACGACGACGACGACGACGACGACGACGACTACGACCATTACTACGACTATTTGCTCCCGCCGCCCCTTCCCCTCTCCCTCATCATCATCGCCATTCTCCTCCTCATCATCAACAACAGCATCAACATCGCATGAACATCAACATCAACATCCTCCTCCTCCTCCTCAACGTCCTTGTATGCTGCGACCCGCCAGGAAAAAGTTTATCATCCTCCCTGGACCTCGAATTTGATTTTCCCCACACTGTGAATCTCAGGGGCATAGGGTTAGCGTGTCGCGGGGGCCGCTGTGGCGACACGCTGCAAAAGTTCCCGACCGTAGGACCTCTGGAGGTCCTTGGAGGTCTTTGGATTCGCAGGATCTTTGGAGAGGCCTCGGGGGCGTCCAGGAACCCAATGAGGGCCGCCGAAAACTCGAAAGGTCTCCGAACAGAGTCCCCCGAAGGCATCCTCCCCACGCTCCGCCGAGGGCGGCAGCGTCGACGACGACGACAACGAGTGCCGACGTCGTCCGGACGTCTCTGGAGGCTCTGAAGGTCACGGGAGGTCCCCCCGAAGGACCCTGGCTTGCCGAGTGAGGCCAAGGCTTGAAATATTGGTCCGCGATCTTTAAAACGTCCGCGCTGCCAGGGTGCGGCGACGATTGCGACCAAGACCCCTCGATCTTCGAACCGCCATCTGCAGCACAAAGATGGACGGTTCCTCGCGTCTCGGGCAGCGGGCTCTTGCCAGGAGGTTTCGATTCGGCGGGCGCAGCGTTTCAGTGGAGCAGTGGAGCCGTGGAGCTGTGCCGCCCACGGCCAATGGGGAGCCTTCTTCATCAGCACCATCTTCTGCAGGCTTGGGCCTCACCTCTCTCTCTCTCTGGCTCTGTCATCCTTCCTGCGTGCTGTCACGACTTCCTGGCCCCCCCCGGCGCTTCAGAACCGCCGACTTGTGAACAGCATGTCGGACGCCCAGGGGGCATCACATTCGGCACTCTGTAGCGCGCCCTCTGTCTCACGAGATAGGACAGCGGTCGTTTTGCCCCACATCCCCAATTCTGTTCTCCTGGCGGACGGTGTCCCTGGCTTCGCTTTGGGCGTCGTTTCCCCATGCCCTTGGAGGCCTTCCTCTCTTCACATCACCCTTCCATGGTGCCGCCTGTAAGATCTACCACAGCATCCACCACGGGCGTTCAACTCGGGAGCGACTGCTGGTGTTTGCGCCGGCTCGAGACCAGCAGCTTGCACGGAGGGACCGACGGGTTCGAGCTTCGGGCGATTGGGCGACTTTAGCAAGAGGGGTGCCGGACTTTCCGCCTCCTTTGCTCTTTTGGCTTCTGCCAGGGGCGAGAATGATCAGGCTGGGGCCGTGAGACGGGTTGCGAGTTAGGGGGTCGCACGAGCATGCCATAGCCATTGAAGTGGATCCTTGTTTCAAGCGGACGTTGTGGATCCTTGTTTCAAGCGGTGCTCTTCTCTTTTCCGTTGCTGCCTGTTCCCGCAGTCCCTTCCTGGATCGTATTGATTTCCTTTGTCCGCCCCTCCCTTGCTGGCCAGTGTCGTTCCCCCCCACCGCCCCCTGATTTGGCTCGTGTGGTCGAGAGATTTGCAACGACGGCCACCGGCCTGGCCCAGGGGCTCAGGGGAAGGTCGCTGCTGGAGGATCTCCTTCCAACGTTACCCCTCCTGCTTCTCCTCCTTCTCTTCCTCCTCCTCCTCCGCCTCCTCGTCTTCCTCCTCCTCCTCCTCCTCTTCCTCCTCTCCCTCATCTTATCCCTCCTCCTCTTCCTCGGGGTGACAGCAATCCGCTGCTCCTCAGGAGAGCTGTCCATCAAGGCTGGCCGAACAGACGTCACCAATGGGGGGCTTTCCCCTCGTCTCTGGCCTGGGCCCCCTGCGTACACCCCCTCCTCTCTGGGCCCAGCGTACTCCTCCTCCTCCTCCTCCTCATCCTCATCCTCCTCCTCCTCCTCCTCCTGCTACCCCCCCTTCCTCCTCCTCCTCCTCCTCCTCCTCCTCCTCCCCCCTCCTCCCTCCTCTCCTCCTCTCCTCCTCCTCCTCCTCCTCCTCCTCCTCCTCCTCCTCCTCCTCCTCCTCCTCCTCCTCCTCCTCCCTCCTCCCTCCTCCCTCCTCCCTCCTCCCTCCTCCCTCCTCCCCTCCTCCCTCCTCCCTCCCTCCCTCCCTCCCTCCCTCCCTCCCTCCCCCCTCCTCCGACGACGACCCACGGCCCTCTTCCTGGGGCTCGTCCGAGCCGGGATGCCACGGCGGACCATGCCTCGGCGAGGCGAGGTTGCCCCCCCTGGGGGGCGCCACAGCGAAGGGGCGGGGAGGCGCCCCGGAAAGCCCCGACCCTCGGAGCTTCGGTCCCCGAAGCGGGAGGACAGTGATCGTGTCGGATGAGGTAAGGGGGTCGGGAGAGATGGCCAGAGCCTCCGTAATGACGCGTGTGTTACGCGTGTGTTACATGTCTTTCGTGCACAGTCGCGCCCTGTATCTTACCAAGTCCCTTCCCCCCAACGGAGACACCACTGTCTGTCTCACCGGACCAGGCCCAATCCTCGGAGCTTGATCCTCGAAGTTCGACCCTCGAGGATCGATTCCCGAAGTCGGCGGCGGCGGCGGGGCGGCGATGAGCGCGGCCGAGGTGCAGGAGGACGGCAGCCGCGCGGCATGCCTGGGCCGCGTGGGGGAGGCCATCTCTGGGGCGCTGGCGCTGGGGCGCGAGGCCCGCGCCCGCTCCCCCTCCCTTCCGGCCCCCGCTCCGCCAGCCCCCTCCTCCTCCTCCTCCTCCTCCTCCTCCTCCTCCTCCTCCTCCTCCTCCTCCTCCTCCTCCTCCTCCCCCTTCTCCTCCTCCTCCTCCTCCTCCTCCTCCTCCTCCTCCTCCTCCTCCTCCTCCTCCTCCTCCTCTCCTCATCATCCTCCTCCTCATCATCCTCCTGTGGATCTAGGTTCGAGGATCAGGGGCCGAGGTGACATGGTTTCGCAATGACTCCGACATGCGCGCGCGGAGACGCGTGCAGGCTGCCCGAATTGTATCATTTGACAACGCTGGCGGGGGCGCGACGATTGTTGTCTGAGTTCGACACTCGCGCATGCGCGTGTCCCGCGTTGCCACATTCGAAATGCTTGCCTAGCACGTATGCTCTTCTTGAGATTCCAGCGAGTGCGCGCGCAGAAATCTCAGATCGTTCCTTAAAACAGAGAACCGATGGTTTGACATCTTTCGCTGTGGAGGCGGAAGTTACGTTATGTCGACGATGTGGTGTAATGTATGTTATGTGAGCTTAACGGTGTGAACGTATCACTGTAGCATAAGCTCTGTGGTATAATATGTGTGGTGTAAGCTATGTGGTGTGAGCTATGTGTTAATAGTCATACACTGTGTATGTTATGCGGTGCGAGTGCTGCCCTAAAAGCTATGTGATGGCTGCTATATGGCGTGGAAGCTATGTTGTACTGCCTGCTCGACGCGTATGCTGTGCTGCTGAAACGATGTGACGCGAGCTATGTAGTGCGAGCTACGCGTTGCCACCTGCGTGCTGCAGGCTGCGCAGTGCAGGCTGTGCTGTGCAAGCTGTGCGGTGTAAGCGCGCGGCTCTCCCACGGGGCGCCCACGAGGCGCCCACGGGCGGGCACCAGGCGAAATCCCGGCCGGGACAACCAGGCCAAGCGCGGGGCGTCCACGAGACGCCCACGGGGCGGGCACCGGGCGCCACCTCGGGAAGCCCACCACGCGCGGGGCGCCCACGAGGCGCCCACGGGCGCCCACCAACCGGGCACCAGCCGAACGCCCAGGAAGCCCGCCCAGTTCTCTCAGTCAAGTCAACTGAGAACTCCTGGGTGCAAGTATCCTTTTAGGAGCTGGGACGCACTTAGGATTGTGGCACACTCGCGCGGCGGCCCGCGCGTGTGGCCTCACTGCTCCCAACCGTCCTGTGGTGCTGCATCCTCGGTTTGAAGAGACAGCGCCCCGCGTCACCTCACCTCACCTCCCGCCCGCCTTCCCCTTCTCCCTCCTCCCATCCCTGCCTCTGCCCTCCACATGTCCCCCGCGGCTGTACTGGGAGGGGGGGGGGGTGGCGCATGCGGCCGCGGCCACTGGGGCATTCGGTGGAGTTGCCTGGGGCCACGAAGCACGGTACCAGGTGGGAGAGACGCATGCGGCCGCGGCCATTGGGACCTTCGGTGGAGCCCCCTGGGGGATCACGAAGCGTTGTCCTGGGTGGGGGGAGACGCCTGCGGCCGCGTCCATTCGAGCCTGCGGTGGAGCTCCGTATGGGGCCAGTGGGGGAGACGCATGCGAATGTCGCCTCTGGGGCCTTCGCTGGAGCTGCCTCTGGGGCCACGAAGCGTTGTACTGGGCGGGGGGAGATACATGCGAACATCTCATCGGGGGCCTTCGTTGGAGCTTTATATGGGGCCACGCAGCGCTGTACTGGATGGGGGAACCCAATGCGAACGTCGCCTCTGGGGCCTTCGGTTGAGGTTTCTATTTGGTAACGAAGCTCTGTATTAGGTGGGGGGGCGCATGCGAACGTCGCCTCTGGGGCCTTCGGTGGAGCTCCTTACGGGGTCACGAAACGTTGTACTGGGTGGAATCACGCCTCTGGGGCCTTCGGATGAGCCCCCTCTGGGGCCACGAAACTTTGTACTGGGCTCCCTTTCGGGTCACGGAGCGTGTGAGGGGTGTGCCGAAATTGTAGACATGCGGAGGGCAGCGGCAGGGACAGGAGGAGGGAGGAAGGGGAGGGAGGAGGAGGAGAGGAGGAGGAAGGAGACGCGGGGCGCTGTCTCTTCAAAACGAGTTCACAACACCACAGAACGGTTGAAAACAGTACGCGGGGAACGCCAGCCAAGCCGGGCCTCGGCAGGGGGGTACACTGTTATCTGTTTGAGGAGATCCAAGCCGTGTGGTTCATGCCATCTTGTGCAACTGGTGTGGTGCGACGTGTGGCGCGAGCTATGTGATGCGACCTGTATGGCTCTAGTAGCGCGATGCTTTGCGTACTCCGCAATACGTGGTGTGCCGATGTCATCCCGCGCACGGGGCGGCCACGACGCGGCCACGGGCGGCGGCTGGCCGAAGACCCAGAATCTCCACCTGGCCCGCGGCCACGAGGCGGCGACGGGCGGCGGCCGGCCGCAGACCCGCAAGTCCCAGTGCACAAGAAGGGGCCACGAGGCGGCCATGGCGGCGACGGAAAACTCAGTCAGCGCGCGAGGCAACCACAAGGCTCGAAAGAGGCGCAATTTCACAAACTGCACTTCCGGAGGTCCGCGTGGATGTCTTGGGTCGGTTCTGGACCCCCCTTCCTGGCGCGCAGAGCTCGCCAGGAGAGACGCCGCAAGGGGCCCACGTGCCGATCCAGGAAATTCGCACAGAACTACGACAGTTTATACGTAGCACCCCGCAATTGCGGATAAGAGTGAGGGGGCGGGCGCGGGCGACGCAGGCGTCGTCGAGCCGGCGGACCTCGTGGCCCCTACCTTCCCTGTCGATGGCGCTCTCCTCCTCCTCCTCCTCCTCGTCCTCATCGTCATCGTCATCGTCATCGTCCTCCTCCTCCTCCTCCTCGTCCTCCTCCTCCTCCTCCTCTTCTTCCTCGTCCTCCACCTCCCCCCCTCGTCCTTTCATCATCGTCCTCCCATTGTCGTCCTCCCCCTCATCGGCCTCCATCATCGTCCTCCCATCGTCGTCCATCATCATCATCATCATCATCATCATCATCATCATCATCATCATCATCATCATCATCACCACCACCACCACCATCATCATCATCATCATCATCATCATCATCATCATCATCATCATCATCATCATCATCATCATCATCCCCCTCCTCCCGCTCCTCGTCCTCCTCCTTCCCCTCCTCCCCCTCCTCCCCCTCCTCGTCCTCCTGCTCCTCCTCCTTTTCTTTCCCCACATTATCCTTACATCCTCTCTTTTTCCGCGTTCTCCTCGTCCCCTGTTTACTCCTCCTGCCTCCCCTTCTTTTCCCAAGATAACTGCAACGCAATCCTTTTTCCCGGAAAGGGCATAGGCCCAGGGTTCTCTTTTCCTATGTAAACATGTCCCCGGGGCCCAACTTGAAGGAGGCCGGCGGATTCTTTCCCTGATGAATATCGAGGTCGAAGGAGGCCGGCGGATTAAAATTTGAGGATGTCTCAGGCGAAACGCTTGTTTTTGAAATCCCGATCGATAAATCACAGGGTGCGGGACACCTCAGCACGACCACACCCCCAGCATGACCACACCCCAGCACGACCACGCCCAGCACGACCACGCCCCAGCACGACCACACCCCAGCACGACCACACCCCAGCACGACCACACCCCAGCACGACCACACCCCAGCACGACCACACCCCAGCACCAGCACGACCACACCCCACCACCCCAGCACGACCACACCCCACGACCACCCCAGCACGACCCCACCCCAGCACGACCACGCCCCAGCACGACCACACCCCAGCACGACCACACCCCAGACCCACCCCAGCACGACCCCACCCCAGCACGACCACGACCACACCCCAGCACGACCCACACCCCAGCACGACCCACACCCCAGCACGACCACAGCACCCAGCACGACCACACCCCAGCACGACCCCACCCAGCACGACCACACCCCAGCACGACCACACCCCAGCACGACCACACCCCAGCACGACCACACCCCAGCAAGACCACACCCCAGCACGACCACACCCCAGCACGACCTCACCACAGCACGACCACACCCCAGCACGACCACGCCCCAGCACGACCACGCCCCAGCACGACCACGCCCCAGCACGACCACGCCCCAGCACGACCACGCCCCAGCACGACCACCCCCCAGCACGACCACACCCCAGCACGACCACTCCCCAGCACGACCACACCGCCTTGGTTGAGTGGTTGCCTGTCGTCGTGGAATGTTTCGTGGGGTGTCTCGTGGAATGTTTCGCGGGGTGTCTCGTGGAATGTTTCGTGAGGTGTCTCGTGGAATGTTTCGTGAGGTGTCTCGTGGGATGTTTCGTGAAGTGTCTCGTGGGATGTTTCGTGAGGTGTTGCCCAGTTGGGTATCGTGAAAACGTGTCCATGCTCCACATGTCTATATCCCTTTCCGGGTTCGTGGGTCCATCATGTTTCCACTTTATGCTCCCCGCCTTCTCTGATCAAGGCAACTCGCCAGGGCAAAGTTGCTGGACGGGCTGGTGTGGATGCGCGGGGCTTGAAGAGGTCCTTGCGGGCTCAGACGGCATGCAAAAATCCGCCGCCGCGCTTGTGCGGCATTGGTTTGTTCAGTGAACGTGGTTTAGGTCGCGGGTGGGTCGCGGGCTCTCCACCTCAACCTGGAAGGAATGCAAAAGCAGCCCGCCGCAGGCGCCAACAAAAATTGGTTTGTACACTGAACGTGGTGTGGGTCGCGGGTGGGCCGCGGGTTCTCCACCGAGAAGGAATGCAAAAGATGCCCGCCGCAGGCGCCCAAAAATGTGGCTTGTACACTGAATTTGGTCGCGGATGGGCCGCGGGCTCTCCACTTGAAACGAATGCAAAAGATGCCCGCCGCAGGCGCCGAAAAATGTGGTTTGTACCCTGAACGTGGTTTGGGTCGCGGGTTGGTCGCGAGTTGGTCACGGGGTGGGTCGCGGGCTCTCCACCTGGAAGGAATTGAAAAAGCCAGCCGCAGGCGCCGAAAATGGTGGTTTGTACTTTGAACGTGTTTAGGG